ATCTAATTGTTTCAGTTCTGTCATCACCATAGGTGATGGTATGTTCATTTTCAGTTACTGAATATGCCTACTTCTCCAGTGCAGGATTTATGGGATAAAATTGATTGGCATTTTTGTACATAATAAGTCAGATCAAACAGATCTCTTTTGATCACAATCTGACATTATATTCTATGACTCAGTCCTGCTTTGTGCAGTTTGTTCCTCTTTCCTACTCTCAGTGATTATAATTTCAGATTGCCAGGCACTCTTCCCCTAATTATGCCAAGCCCTATTCATTGTGAACTGACAAGTGATATTTCTTTGAGTTCCACCCACGGTCTACCTACTCTTATCTCACGCTTACTGGTGTTGCCCATATTACCATCCCCACTCTTACCAAAAATATAGTATCACCCACCAAACTTCAGCTTGCTCACTGCAGAGCAATATGCACAGTCTGAAGCTATGTATGTTCTCAGGAAAAGTATTTCTTGATGTTTGTTCTAATCTTGATGCCTCATAACTTCATTTGTCAGGAAGTACCATGTTGTGAGAAATGGTAAATAGTCAGTCCTTAGTCATCACCTCATTATTCATGAACTTCTACACCTTTGCCCACTCTCCACTCAGTCATCTCTTTTCCACATTCCTAGTCTATTCATTCAGTTTTTCTCTTACAAACACTGCTCTCTGTCTCTGGTCAGCCTTGCAACTCTTCTATGTCTCTTTTCTAGCCCACATCCTTTGGAAACAGAGGGTAGGGAGGGACCAGAACTGCTCCAATGTTTCTGGTGTGTAAATGAGAATTTATGTGCTGAAATTTCCTGAGTTTTCTTCCATTGCTTTCTTTTCACTCATAAAGAAGCCTTGCACAGGTCAAGCTATGGTAAAGAGAAGAAAGGCCGAACAAGGGACACTTTTTGAAGTGAGCTTGAGTTTTAAGAGTGCCAGGAAGCCTTGGGGATTAATCCTCCCACTAAAACATTTCTACTGATCTGTTCTTTGCAGTGGCCAAGCACACTTATTCTGTGGATGAGCCATCCATTCTATGGATGGGCCCTGAAAAGTACAATCTACATGCCCTTTGCAGCCTATCAAAAATGGCAATCAGGTTCTTCTGCTAGGACAGCAGGCTGCTTTGACTCCAGTTAGCTGAGCTGATTTGCCATGGGGTAATGAGCCCACTGTTTTCCATTAATGGGTCGTCTTCCCCTTTATCCCACCTGCTATAAGCACACTGAAATCACTTCCTGTTAATGCTAAAAGTGGCAAAGAAGAGTTGCTGCTAAAAAGAGATTACTTCTACCTTTTTACTGGCTAATTTGTGGAGTCTGTTAACCTGGCCATGAGTAAGTAAAAAATGTTAAAAGACATTTACTCACAGACTATTGCTTGTTTAGGTTCTAGGTGAAAGAAAAAATATACTAAGGTGATTTGCTTTGCTAAATTATGTGATGATCAAAAGAATCATTTCATACTGCTGATGACATCATAGGAAAGTGAATAAAGAGGGGAGGAAAGAAGCTGATGAAAGTAACGAAGGATGCTGGAGGTTGAAGCTGGCAAGGGCCAATGGTTGTTTGTGCAGTTTGAGCAGAAAGAAGTTAAAAGGACTTCTGATTGACTTGCAGAAGTTTTAGGTCAGGATATGGAGGAAAATTCTATGTCCTTATTCTTTGGGTGTCATGTTAGCGGTTGTCACTGTTAACAATTAAACTGACTCTCAATTCCTGGCTGCCAATTACCGACTCACTCTTGTTCTTTGCTTTCCCTGTTCCTGTGCAAAGTTGCAATGTTAATGTGGGTCTTGTTTTCTCAAGTCAAACATGTCAATGTCACAGCACTCGTGAGCCTCTCTAAAGAGGGGATGCAACGTGACAGTGCTCTGCCCTTGTACCCATGGGAGCAATGACCAAGAGGGTGTGAGCAAGTTAACCAGTTACGCACCCGCAGACAAGCTGAAAATGCCCTGGGGGATTGTGCCTGCCTGCAGTGTGAGGGGAGAACAGATTTCGTGATTCATAAGCAACTTTTCATTTTGTGGCCGGGGACTATCCGGATTTGGAAAAATAAAAACAAGTAATCAGAGCTAGCTTCAAGAAAGGACAAGCAGCGCAAGTGTCCAGCAAGGGATGAAGAGAGCAGCAGGAGCTTGAGATAGGCGGCTGTGGAAATGACTTCCTGTGTGAGCAAGCAGGAAGGTGCTCAGGCCTTATGTCCATTAAGTCTCAAGTCTCTCTCAGCAGCTGTAAAAATACCACAGTGGCTACTCAGCTTTGTAGAAGCAGCTTGTTTGTCTTTTTTTTTTCCTCTCTCCAGGACCTCAGCAAAAGTAGGAGTAATTTTGTTTGACTTTAAGGGGTCCTCAATATCTTAAAGGGAATTAGAAGTCAATGGGAGGGACAACTTCTTGAGATACCAAAATTCCTTGAAGGGAGAAAAGGTCAGTGAAAGTGAGCTGTTATCTCTTGATAATTAGAGCTTGATTTCAGATGTAGCATATCAAAACCATCCAGGAATAATTACAAACCAAGAGACTTTAGATACCTTTTCTTTGCATTTTTCTCTTCCCACACTCTTCCTCCAAAGAGTGAACTTTCTTAGGAGATCTGCAGTGCAGTGTGGTTTAGCTATATAAAAAGCAGAATGGGACAAATTAGGTGCCATCACCCTCCACTGGAGGCACGAGGCACATGGAGGAGGACATATATTCTGGAAGGAAAATGATTTTTTAGCTCAAATGGGGACATGTCAGAGTTGTCCTGTCCTGGGGAACCAGGGAATTCTGCCTTCATCTGCTCAGCACACTGGCTTTTGCATTGCTAACTGTGGAAATGATGAGAGATTTCAGCTTTCTATTAACTACAGTCTGCAGTTTAATTTAGTATTTCTGTTCTCTGTTGCTAGTTATTTATTTCCGGGAATTAATGTCTTCCTAGAGAAAGCTGATCTAAACAAGGAATAGAAAGGCATGTGTATGTGTGTCAGACGGTCACGTGGGGTTTCCAAGATTCACTGAGATTTACATATTTTTTCCTGGGATATAGAATGGATATACAGCACTGAAGGCAACCAGTCTAAGCGAAGTGAATAGACGGATCAAAGCTGGTACCAGATCATCTGGCTGGAGACTTTGATAATCTGAGAAAACTGATAAAGGTTTCATTTGACAAATAGTACTGTTGATTTAAAAAGGACAGTGACCATCTTAGTGAAGGCTCTGAAAGGAATGAAAACAGCCTGAACAGGAACCATGGCAGCACTTCTGGGTATATTCCCAGTCACAGTCCAACTCCCTATCTGGTGCAACGTTCAGCAGATGAACTTCCACTCTGTCCCTGCTTAATTTTAACGCAAAATAAACTTGAAGTGACAAGGAGTCGAGGGGACCCAATCTCCAGACGCAGTATGGTATATGCAGAGAGGACACTTTAGAAGCAGCATGCCTGAGTGATTTGTCTGCAAAAGCAGATAATTTCTCTCTGCATGAGAAGGTTCCTGTTCTCTTTAAAAGACAATTTTTCTGTGCAAACACAGAAAAAGCTGAAGACCAATTGGGAAACACAGATAGGAATTAAGGCTTACCATTTATATTTTTGTCTACTGATTTCTAGAGCAACTTATTTTCTGTGATGCTTAAGGCAAGATGAGATTGCCTATGAAGGAAGTCTGTGCGCTTGCCTGTTTCACATGTCCCTACAAATGTGAACTCTAAACCCCAGCTAGGACACCAAGGGAGCAGCCAGTAAGCCTGGAGAAGAGAGTATGTTGACACTGCGAATGGTCTCCCAGGTCTCTTTCTGGAGAGGGGCAGCAGGCTGGGCCACCCTGGCTTCTCAGTTCAGATTAGGACAATGCTTGTGAATCGAATCTTTTGATTTGTTCACATTGTGGAGCAGGGGAACTAGTTCCTCTTGGTGAGCCTAAACCAGAAGATGTGCTCCAGGAGGCCCCCTAACAGACTTTGGCCGCTAATGGGCATTCAACCCATGGAGCTGGACGTGATCTAGTCTAGGAAACACTCCCCTCCATGCGTGTCATATAGCTCTTAGGTCCTCAGCACCAACTATTTCACCCTACAGATCATTTCCTGCTATGCTGCTCTACTTACTAAAGTAGACATAGCCTAAGCCCAGCCTGGTGCAGACCAGCAGAAAATAGGTCTCTTTAGACATGTTAATCCTGATTATTAAGACTTTAAGTTCTACTGTTTCTAAAATATATTTAATAATGGGCAACACATTGCTCCTTATATGCCTCTTTCTATGCATAATGTTCAGAATATGGATATACAAGGTACAGGTATAATATAGAAATATATAATGTTAGGTTTATGGATATATTTGGAAGTAATAGTAGTAGGTTATATGTGTGTTCAGGTAATACAGGAGAAAATATATCCTAGTGCTACCTCTTCCATAATAGCCTGCCTACCCCTGGCAGCTCAGCTCCCTCTGACCATAAGACCCCATATTTCTTCCCCTGATTTGGGGACAGAGGTGTCTCAAGCTATCAGAGGCGCACCAGGCATGCGGAGTGACAATATAAACATATGCTAACATGTACAGCTGCCAATTTGTAACAGGGGAGGCAGGCAGTTTTTACCTCTTCTGCCCTCAAGTCACTGGGCACATCTAGGTCAGCGTGGTCATGCATGATACGATGCGATCACAGCTACCCAGGCACTCCTTTCCCTCATTTGCTACGAGCGCTATTCCCTCGGTGCTATGGTGACCTCTGATACAACTGTGAAAACATAAAGCAAGGCAAAGTATTAGCAAGATAGATATTGGCATTCTGGGAAATAATTTTCTTTATTTTTTTATATAGTATGAAAAAAGTGTGCATACAGAAGTCCTGCATTTCTGATTTGTTTATAGCTAGAGATATGACAATTTTATTATTTCCTGTAGTCATTTCCTCTAGTTCCTTCCAGTCTCTGGTATAAAATGATCAAATGCTGAAGTCCAGAGATTACGACTGCTCATCTCCTCACGGTCTGTTGTGTCATTCCAACCATGAGACTAACCTTTCAGGTGTGTTCAGTGATCTTCACGTTGGGCAACCTGGTGGCCTCCCAGTCACAATTATCTGGTAAGTTCAAATCCACAGATATTTATCTAAGAAATGCATATGTTAACTAGTAATATTTTGGTGGGTACCTTAGCTCATATGTTACAATAATCAGTTTTTTTTTTGGTGAAAAGGATCAATCAAACAAAAATTGCTATCTAGCAGAGATTAATGTGTCCTCTTCAAAAAAAATGATGATGATAATAATAGATTTATTTGAATGTTCTCCAATTAAAAATGAAGGAAGAAGTCAGTACGTTTGTGTTTAATGCTAAAGAAAGAGATATTCAAATTTTTAAGTAGGAATGCTTAGTGTTCAAGACATCGATTTTGATAGAGTGGACTGCATCCAAAAAAGACTACAGTCTTCTCATTGAACAAAGATGAATAAAACGGATTTCAGGTAAGACTTGAACTGTTAGAATTCTGGAAGAATGAGTAAGATGGGAAAATATCCAGTAAATTCTGGTGTCTGAGAAAGTAGCAAGGTAAGAGTATTGCTACAAAGTAAAATTAAAAAATACATTAAGGCTTGGTTATTTTGCTACTTAAATATAAGAACATCTCCATCCCATGTGTTAGTTTGCAGTGCCGTTACTTACAGCATGCTAAAAATAAAAGGTTTCATGCAGAAATCTAACATAAAGCCCAAAACATGTGTCGATAATCTAATCTTCAGCCTTATTAATTTATCACAAGATGCCTGTCATTTATTAATTTTGTAAGGCGAAACAAATACTTTGAAGTACTCAGCAGCCTATAAATCAGCTTTCTTTTCTGCTGTACATGCAATAAGTACCATTTTTGGCTATGCAGCACTGTCTGATTCTCCAGTGTTAACTGCTGCTGCCAGTCACCAACACTTCTGCGAGTGGATGCAACTCTCTTCCCACTATCCTGAGATGACCACATTCTATAGCCATGCTGTACTGATGGCAAGTAATTTGTGGGATCACAGCTGAAAATCACAGTTACCGTGGTTATTTAACGTAAAGTGTGGTGATGTCTAGCTGTGGTCAGCTATGTTATTTTCTATCAAAAAAAAATCTCAAGAACTTGATTTGTTGGAATATAAGGAGTATGTTAGAAGGAATATGTTATAAGGAGTATGCCTCATTCCAAAATATATTTCTAAAAATCTCTCTCTTGCTGTCCTGTTCCTTTTCTTGAAAAGGGATTTCCTATTTAGTCCCATTCAATTCAGCAGTCATGCACAGAGAGCTTCACTTTCGCCTGCATGTGTTCCTGTTACTGAAACGAAACTGTTCTCATCGATGAATAGTATTTAGCTTAGCAAAGACTGTAGGCTCAGATAAGACTCTTGCTCTCTAGTTGTTTCTTTCTATACAGTGTGCTGCAATATGTGGAAGTTCAACATGTGGTTACTTATCAGGTTTCATCAATGTAAGGAAATCAAAAGTGGTTTTTCTTCTTTGTAATGTTTCAAGGAGGTTACAACAGTTCCAGTACATTTATGTTCCATTCTGTTATCTTTGTAGATTGAGAATTTTTTCTCTCCCTTTTCTCTCTTTTTTAATCTGTTCCATTACATTCAGGCCCTTTACAATGTTCCCTTTCAGTAGTAATTTTTTTTTAGTAATAATCTTTGAAAAGTGACTTGGAGGCGGAATGTACTTGCCCATATTCTTGCTCATGGTTGTGTTTGCAAAATTTATTAGGCAAGGAAATTTCTCTTTTTTCCCCTGTAAAAACATTTTCTGCAATGTGAAATAGTGGTATTTTCCACCTTTCCCTGTCCTGAGAAGAGCTAAATGCTCAGCAAGGACTGTAAGGTTGAGGTGTTGTGTAGAGCCTTACCAACTTCCTCAGGTTTTACCTAGGATTTAGATTCAGAAATTGCTCTCCAGAGCTCATGTTTCAGCGCCCTGGTATATGTCCTATGGCACAGCAATGTACTTTCAGCTGTATACCTAGACCGGCAAGCCAGCTTCTGACAGAAAGGAGCTGGCACCTGTCTTTGGCTGAGATACTGCCTCTTCACTGTATTTTCGGCCTTTCCATTTCCTAATCTATCCATTATCATAATACTTAAAATCATTAAAATCATAGAGAGCCATGATAAATGTGTTACTTTGGGCTATTGTGTAACTGTAGGGTCATGAATAGAAACATGCTTTAAATAATTAAAATTGCTGTGGAAGAAGTACCACATTAGCAGAGAAAGATCCAGGGTGTTACATGGGATTCATAAAAGGTCCATTATAAAGAAAGGGAGAGAAATGTGCCCTGCTTTTCTCTTTCCTGTTATTTCTCTTTATTCTTTTCCATTTTATTCCTATTCTCTTAATTGCTTTCCATTAACAAAAGGTGGGAATGATTCTGCCTCCAAAATTATAGGTGCTTTACAAAAAAAAAAAAAAATACCCTTCCAGTTAGAGGCAAAGGAAAAGATCACCGGAAGGAAATATCACACTTCAGGTAACCTATATATCTTCAGACTATTTGACAGCAATTTGAGCCAAAAGACACAATTTAAAAAATTTAATGTAGGATTCGCATCCTTACATGCTGAAAAAGCAAAGAAATGTGGATAATATAACATATTTATGCTATGATTTGAAAAAATATGCACAAATGTTTACTGAGAGAATACTTACAAAAAACAGCTCATACTACATTCAGAAAAGCTACAAAATACATGAAATGAGAAAGTATAGTAGAAAACTGTGCTGACCGCAGCTCTAGAAAGATAAACTTTAATAATAAATGTTATTTTTAAGCATTTTAAATTCTGCTCTGTATAGACAAATGCATTTCAAAGTAGTTTATTGATTACATTAGCACTGATTTCTTATGAAGTTCTTAAAAATTAGAGCACATGAAAGAATGTTTATATGTCAATAGAGAATTTATTACAAGTCCCTTTCCATTTCTATTAAATGGTTATATTTATTTTTAGAGTATTTAATAACATATGCACCTAAATAGCTGCACTTGCTAGAGGTTCAATTTAAATTTAAATGTTAAAATACTAGAGTTCCAACTCATAATATGTAGTTTGTCTGTATTCTTTTTTTTTTTTTTTTTTTTTTTTTTTTACAAAAAAAACATCCTT